AAAATAGTAGTATTCTTTTAAATCCTAATTCAAAATTTATTCAAAGATGAGCTTTGCACCATTTATCAAAATTTTCAAAAAAATCTAGAAAATATACACTGAATGACATAGACAGTGTATGTGGAAGTAGTTAGACGTTTATCACGAAGATAAGCCATAAATTAGAATTATATATGTGTATATCCATATATATACATATATATATAAACGCATCATTCTGAATTTCGGATGGAAAGCAACTATTGGTGTGTGTACCCTTGTTAAAATTTCTCTAAACCAAGCAAAAAAGGAACTTGTCAATGATTTATTTATACAGTTGGATTCATAATACATTTTTTTTACACATTTTCAAGCAATGTTTGATGCTTTCATTTGAGTAGTACCTCTCCCCCCACCAAAAAAATTTAAAGAAGGCGAACAAATTACGTTGCATTCTATTGCACCTCATCCCAATTCGTATTTATGCACTTCCAGTTTATCGTAATAATTTCTGTTTATGTACACGGCATTTTTTATTTGTATACAACCATCGAATTGTTGTTAACTATTCAACGTCAATTCTTTGGTTAGTGTGTATAGTGTTTCTTCTTTCTTTTTATTTAACTATTCTTATTTTAACAAAGTTTGTTATAATAAGTGAAAATTTTAGACTTTATGTAAAAATCATTTATCATTTTTGTATAACACGCACAAATGTAATTGTTTAAATAAAAATAAACAATTATTTTAGGTTAGTTTTGGAAAGTAAAAGCAAACTATATAAGTTTGAATTTCAGAAGCTCTATTTTCTGGTGTATATATATATATATATATATATATATATATATATATATCAAAGAAATTTCAAATAATTTAATGTTTGATAACAGAGAAAGCTGTATGCACAGTAGGGAGAAATAGAATAATAGAGATTCACAGAGTACGATTTGGTATGGTGAAATTATTCACGTAAAATGCCTAACCGCAGAATTGATGGATCACTGGTTTTCAGGTGATATCAACTTTAGTCTTTAATTATTTTTTATCCGATAAGTTATATTATATCGCCTGAGGATTTAAACTAATTCATATTGATTGATCATCTAGTAATCCCCAACAGCTTGCTCCCATAATTCTTTACGTCGATATTGAACTCTTCAGATTGAGTTTTACTATGGGCAATAAATACTCTAAGTGGCAAAGGATCACTTTCGTATTTGTTGATTTAACGTGGTTGAAGATGACCGATAAGAAACCCTAAAGCGGACTAATGATACGGTCGGGTTCCAGACCACCGAGCACATAATATGTGTACTAACCAAGGGTTCTATCTTCTAGCTATATCTTACTTATTGGTTTCCATTATGATTAACTAAATATTTCCATCTTCATTGAAGTCAGTCGTATCATTCTAGCAGTAAATGGTTTTAACTACTCGAATTTTCATACTGATACAGTTTTAAATAAAAGGCTTAACAAACTAACAATATTTGTTTATGAAATTCATATGGAAAGTAAATGAACATGTGAATTAGTGTTAAAAATATTCCAGATGCTCAGTTTGCTCATGAAGAAAAGAAAATTTGAAATCTAAACACTGATTCTCATAATATTAACTAACAATAATAATCGCTTGTTTAGTGAGAAGACCGAAAAAGTTGTCAGTCGCACTAGATGTAACAAAAATGGACCTGAAAGTTGTAATTTGGTACAGATGAAGTCCTGAGTGAGTTTCTAGTACACATTACTTAATGATGCGGCATAGTATAAAATTTTCGATTGTCAGGAGAAGAAATTTCTATGGTTTCAGTGATTTATCACTTGAACATAAATGCAATCTGACTTATTTAATAACTCCAAGTTTATGAGGTCAACTTTCAACAACAATGTCTACTTAAAAGCAAAAAGTTATCACTTAGTTTTCTGATATACAGCAGATGGGACAACATTCAACCTCTCAGCTGCTGATTAAACCGCTGAAACACACTTCGACTTTTGGGAAACTATGATTAATGCCTAACCGGAACAAAGCTGAAAGTCAAAAAATATGGTCGTACTTTGTGGCAGTCTGTTAAGTGGTAAATAACTGAACAATACTAAACAGACAATGATCAACATTTATACCCAGTTAACAGAATGGTAGAAACTTTTCTTATTTATGTCGTTTTTATGTCAGCTTTCATTTTCCTGGATAGCGTTATTTTAGCAAGCTGGTTTTCCATGGGATGGGGTCGCTAGCTCCACGCCCAACCCTCCTCCTTTATCCAAGCTTGCCACTCACAGTAATCCTAGATGGGCTCCAGGCGGAGATAGGTTGGCGGATCCTGGTGGGCAGTAAGTAAGTAAGACACATTCTGAATACTCTGTAATAGAAATATGAGACATTTGTCCTCTAAAAGATAAATATCTTGTTGATGACTTCGATCTATGTCTCTATCTTACTTAATCACTTTACACTATCTCTTAATAATAAAGAATTCATTATCATCGCATAAAAATCGATTAATTCACTTAATTACAACATAAGATGTTGAATTGCGAATCTAATATTCTCACTGAAGCTTTATAAAACTAATAAAAGCTCAGGAAGTTTTGACTGGGCGCTTAAATAGCCAAAAAATCAACTGCGGTTGCGTTTCTTTTTGTAACAACACCACTTAAGGTTGTTTCAAGAAGATATTTTGAAATCTGAAGAACATCGCTAAAATACGTAATTCGATAGATAATTTTACAACTAACTGTTTGTTGGCTAACTTCATGATGAATGTTTCAAAGTTGATGTGACAGATCCTGACTAATGTATCCGTAATTGTCTGTAGTTTAACTATAGTAATTTATAGCCTGTATCCGATTATTTTAGTCCTGTGTTGTGATGATATTATGGACTGGTCAAATGTGTGTCAACTGAATAATATCGATAATGAAGTAATGGATCTTTATCTGTATTAGATAACAGAATTCACTGGTTTATGCTCACACGATAATCAATCAGACTGACTTCTAAATAATCGATAGCACTTTGAATATAAAGACATCCTACTGAACGTTAAATGAAATATTTACATATAAACATGTACATGCTAAACTGTTTTGTAGAGTTCACAACCCAATTCAACTTTTTCAAACTTACAATAGACAGTTTTATTTTCAAATTGATAGTCTTAAGGACTTTGTTTAATTAAATGAGGGAGAGAAAACTAAGCCAACAAACACATTTTGCTATTGATTGAATTCTAGACAATTAATTCATTGTATCCTGAAAAATGATACTGTCTGTTCGTTTAAATGAAAAGAACAAATTAAGTTTTGTTATAAGAAATTATTTTTTGACTAAAGAAAAACTTTTTTCTGGCTGTTAATTTGATTGGACCCATCATTTATTGGCAATTTTTTCAAACAGAAAAATTAACTGAATGTTTTCTTGTGTTAGTTTATTTAAATTGCTTTTTGATTATTAGAATGAAGTATTTGTTTTTTTTAAGAATACAGACTAAAGAAATTGTTAATTTCAAAAATATTCGTTCTATGGGATAATTCAAATTTGAAATGTAGCGTTCATGGTGTTTGTTTGACTGTTCTATTCACTCATCAAAATGTACTTCACATAGTTCAGGTAAAACTCTACTGAAAGTTATATTTTTGGTAACGACTAAAATTGTCTGTATTCAATTTGAAATGGTTAAGATTAGATATTTTTGACTGAAATTTGATTAGTCTTGGCTGGTATGTAGACATTCTATGCGAGTTGCCTCGATTTAGCCATTACGACTCAAGCTGATATATAAAGTGGATGGAGTGTCACAAACATCGGATTCCAAGAAGCGCATTTCATCCTGTTCGGTATTCTGAATCCCAGAGTTGATCTCCGACCCAGAACTTCAGCCTAACAATGTTTGCTTGAGGCTTTAATGCGTTATCCGCTCAGCTACCAAGTCTGGAGATGAGTCCAGCTGACGAGTCTCAAGTAGGATTAAACTCGCGTTCTGTATCCCACTGCTAGCGACATTATATATATTTTATGTGCAACTGTTTTGTTCAGAGTCAGTGTCGAGATAGTTGTGTTTACAGACTTATTGTATGTTAATATTAGACAGGTGTTTTATATTAGGTTGATACTATTGAATAATGTGTGCCCACTAAACAATATGTGATAGAACACGGGATCATTAACTATTAATTTAAGTGTAGTACCTTTAAATGGACACACCAAATGTGTTGAAATACTGATTTGATATTTTTACGCCTATTACACTTGATAAAAAGAACTTTCGAAATCCCAGACTATTCTAAAACATCATTATTAGTCAATGCCCATCTTTAATATTTGAGTGAGTTGACAACATAAAAAAACTAATTTCATTCTGTAATGATGATGACAATTTTTTATCAATATAGTTAGTTATAACAATCATTCAGAATACTCATTACGTATAAATCGAAATGAATCACCTTTACTATTGAGAATAAGGCATAATTTGTTCTTGTTTATTTGAAATATTGCAAAAACTTCTCTCTCATAATAATATTATCAATGAATAGTAAATTAGTTAGTTTGAAACAAAAGGTTAACACCTTATTCAGTGTTTATTCAGATAGAACATAAAAAAACTAAAACAATAAGACTGTATATGACTAACTGTAATACATAGGTTGACAGTGAATAATTGCTAAGTAATAAGCAACGCCATGTTTACCTAGACATTTTGTGTATCATTTGAACCTAAGTTCGTCTCGTTATCTGAAAGCTAGATAATATAGCTTGGAATACTATGAAGTTCATTGGATCAAATAAAACTCCTCATGAGGCTTACTGACATACACTTAGAATATAGTTAATGTATCTTTAACTAAATTAACGATCTTACAGGAATCAAATCAGATGAATAAATATTTATTCTTGCAAACATTGTCATTTGAAATATTTTGTCATAAATTTTAAACTTGAAGAAAACGTTTTATATAATAATTGCATCTGAATAAATACTACTATCTGTAAATGTTTTCATTACAACTGTTTACAGTTACGTATTGGTGGTTCCAAGAAATTCGCTGATGATGCTGGTGTGATTAAACGTTTGGAATTCCCAGCACGTAGTGTCAGTGTAACATATGCTGCATTGCATTCTGGTTATACGTATACAGTTAGTGATTTAGAACCGAATAGTGTTTATGATGTACAATTAAGTGCATATTATGATTTAACATTGAATATGCAAAGTAATTGGGAAACAACAAGTTGTTTTACTCAAATGCAACGTAAGTTCAAATTTTGAAGATAAAAAAAATGAAAAAAAATCAAGCCTCTAGTTGAAGTTTTTTTTAACTTTTACGTGTATGGATAATTTTCTTATTATTAAGAGTTGAAACCCTACTTTTCCAGTGTTAAATACTTGCGGTGATATGACGATCAACATAAAGTGGTGAGTGGACGGTTAGAACGTCGATATTATAAACTAATATTTATTCAATACAGATCAAGAATAAGATTCTTCCGAATGTTTTGAATGTATTTCGAGTGTCATAAAATGCATCCTAAGTGTTACAAATGTGATATATATATAATAAATCTCGCAACCATCCAGTTTACTTGTAAGAAAAAAGTAACCAATCCATAGGGTAGAACAAATTCAATGGGAATTTAAGTTTAGAATAATGTTAATGACCAGTAAATCAAGAGACGGACTGTATATTAATAAGAAGGTATATTCATCACTTGCTAAAATAAGTTCTGATAAATGCTTCTAAACAAGTATTTTCACGGCTGTAACAACCGTTCACCGTGTTGATAATTTTACATTTGATGTCTATCTGTCCGCAAAACAGCCATCTCAAAACTGGACTACTGTGCAAACTGTCTACTCGACCGAATGATAACCACTGATTGATTAAGACAAACTAGCAAGGTTCCACTATGTAGTCAAGACTACTGAAGTTGTCCTTATCATCAGAGTGAAACAAAGTGATATAAATCATCAAGTTCTATCTCTGTTAGTTAAAAGTAATAAGCACCCATGAAAGGATATTTTCCTAATTATTCATTGTTATTTGTTTAAATCTGTTTGTCTCTGTGTGTTCAATTTTAACAGATGGATGAAATTCAAACATTTTAGTTTTAATCATATTGTTACAATTTTTAAACACAGAGTCACAACCATTATCTAGTTTAAAACATAAATTCTGCTTGAAGCTAATACTTCGATAAAAAAATCCAACTTAGTTTGATAAAAGTTTTACGATTAAATTTGAACAAATAAGTGCTGAGTTTATGGAAGACATTCATAAGGGAAGTATACTTGTGATAACCTCAGTGATTAAAAATACAAACTTCCAGTTTTGTCAACCTTATTTAGTGCAATGAAATTCATTCAGAATTATCGAATATACAAAAAAAGGCATCACGAAACAACTGTTTAAGCTATATGGTATATCTGAGCCAAATATATTTCCATAAATCAACATTGAATTTCGTGAACAAAACAAATTAAGCATTATTTGTGCGCAGACAATATAAATGACATTAATGTGATGCGAAATTTTAACTCAGGTTATAATCAGCTATGAGAGTTTGAACTATAACACAGCTGGTTATGTCACGGTGGTATATAATAAATTAAGCCAAAAATAGAGGAAACGTTTTTTGAAGTTTTTCTTACCCAACAACATTTTTTTACTTATCAAGAAAATTAGAGCCTTATATGAATTTCGCAGACTTCATAATACAAATTATATCAATTTTATAGACGTAGTCTGTACAACTGAAACGAACTTTTTAAAAATCTATTATAAAATTTTAGCTTATGAAGTCAAAGTAGTCATTAAGAACGAATTTATACGGATATTTATGTAGAATTATTACTTCATACTAGGAAATAACGTTATATTACAGATCAGGTTACTTCACTTTGGCTAAACATTTAAGCTATAATAGCTAACTAATTATTTGCTCTTCATATTATTAAAATTGAAAACGGGATTATTTGAAGCTTAAACCAAGATGAAAGAGCTTTCGTATATTTATTTTGCTGCTCAATGCACTTAAGGTAGATTTGTTATTTGATAATAGACTGTTAGTTGATAATTCCTTTACTGGATTGTCAATCACAAACCAATCAATCGCAATCATTCACTTCAAGCCACTTGATGTAATATAGTTATCTGACACTGCAGGCATGCACAAGTATTATATATTCAGAGGACATATTTTAGTCTTATAGATTTCAAAATAACTGGATTTGTTTTCAGTATCCAAAAGTGAATTTCGTAAAATTATTGAATTTTTCTCTCGGATATTAGCACAAACATTTTCAAAGGTAGTTTTCTTGGAAGATTATCACCAACAGACGTAACTCCAGAGCATAAGAATCACTGGACAATCTTTATTTTTACGTATGGAGGTTCTAGTAGCCCATTTTTATAACCCAGTTATAGACTGAACTAATACCCTTAAAGGTTAACATTGTCCTCATTAGATTGTAATCCACAGAATCACATTTCTTGCTTCTGTTGACTTACAATGGCAGTCAGTCAATTTTCTAGGCGCGCAACTATCGCATTACATGCACGAGGCAAGTTTGCCTATATATATATATATATATATATATATATATATATATATATATATAATCTCATAAAAATATTGGAAACTGTCTTGAAGGGAGCTGCTAGAGATTACAATATATTTCTTGTTTAACAATGTATTGCTTACGTTTTATTTTTTTAATTCAGTGCATGCAGCTGAGTCTGCACAATACTTTTTTTTTGTCATATTCCTCACAATGAATTATCTGGGCTATTTTTTTTTGGTTTACAGGTCCACCATTCGTACCAACCCCAATACCGGTTGCTGTATCACCAAGTCAATTACAAGTTTTATTACAATTAAGCCGAGTTAGTGAACAATACGGAAAAATACGACAATATTTTCTAGTAGTTGCTCCTGTTCATTTAGCTGACAGTTCAACGGAAAAAATCAGTATAGACACAGTGAGTAACAATAGCATTTTGGGTTATTTCTTATGGCGAATTTTATTTATTGTAAACTTGACAAGATATAGTAGGCTATAACAGAATATCTTCAAGTATCTAGGTTCCATACAGATTAAGAAGAAATGCAGAATATTGAGATTTTGAATCGATCATTGTTAGACTGCTATTAGAAACCTGAAAGCACTGAATGGCCGTTTCGCCAGCAGTGAGCATCCACAATGATCGATCGGCGCATAATTTCAATAAAACTCGATAGATAACAACCACCTCCAATAATCTCCATAATGAAAAAAATAATGAATATATATGTGATTTGTACACATAATAAAATGTCTTTAATGATTAAGCTATATAGATTATATGTATATTATCTGGTTTCTTAGGTGTGCCACAATGTCACACCCTTTTACAATGACTAAACGTTTATTTATATTATTCTTTGTTGAATGAATTTAACTAAATTTATATTCTCTAAGAAAAAAAAAGGTTGATACAAATAATGAAATTAATGTTTGCGTTTTACTAATGCAAACATTTTTGGTATTTTGTAAATATTTCTAATATTTTATAAAATAGATTATAACTTAATTTATAGTTAAAATAATTTTGGGTTTAGTCAGTGTTTTCAGACTACAATATATTATTACTGATTTTAATGTAACCTAGAGAATGTGTAACAAATTAGTGAATGCAAAATAGATACATATTATGATCGTTTATTGAATGAAATTGCATCGGCTCGAATCTTAGTCATGGCAATGTACTGTTCTTAATATTTCGATAACAATGCTCAACCAATAGGATAACACCATTTAAAAACATTGGAAAAAACGTGTTTTAAGTACCCTTGATTTGAATTCAGATCCGAAAGATTTATCATAGTACTGCGCAAATGAAGCTGAAAATTCCTTACAGTACCGAAACTCATAGTTTTGAACAAAGCTATCGTTTATAAGTAATACTAAACTAGATGAAAGTTTCAACTTTAAGTACTCTAAACTTGGCATTTGCGCTAGAAACCAACGTGTATCTGTTAGTTGTGTTGAACAGAACAGTTTTCAAAACCCGACATTATGATTTATGTTTACAAATCCAACTGTCACAATTCAATAATTACAGCTTATGTAACTGTGGTCCTTTGATTAGGGACATTAAATTTAATCATACGTACTATCATCACATCAACATGATGACTTGGAGAAAACATTTTCAAATTCTACACTATGCCTAACCTTATGCTATCGTTAAGATCAATATATATATATATGATATGATTTTTGTCTGACATTTTCCTATTAGATATTATAGCTCCTTTTTAATGGATTTACTAGTGATAGTTTTCTATTATTTAGCTTTTCTCTCAGTAAAATAATTTAGTACTAGTTTGACTTATTTAAAAAATGAAACTATTTTTCAAAATATTGAACAAGTAGAAAAATATAAATTGGTTGGTTTATTATGCCATTTAAACTAGTATAATACTTTTCAGATAATTTTTAACTCCTGTTGTTCAGTCTCATTGAATGGCATGAATGAAACTAGTAGCACTGTCCATATAAATGTGAATGAGGAAGAAATAAATTTGAAAAAAAAGAGGACGAAATATATGTGTGTATTTTAGGGAAGATTATGAAAATTGAAAAGATTTATTTCTAACTTAAATTAAATTTCTATGATTCAGCATTTTCACAAACTATCTCACCTTAGGAAAAAAACAAGCTAACCATGAATCAGACTGATGTTTTTGTGATAAACAAACGACAAAACTGACTAATACAAGAAGAGTATTGAACATTGAATATGTATATATATAAGCGCCACATTTATTTTATTTACAACTAAAATGTAAATTTTTATAATTTAACACTACCATTAATTGGTAATTTTAAAAAACTTATTCACATTACAATCAAATCTATCAAACGTTTTCTTGATGTAGTGAATCTTGCATCATTAAACTGTTTGCTTAAATCTCGTGCAAAGATTCAATATGTTATTAGTGAGTACCAACCCTTGTTCGAATCGAAAATCCGGATCATTTAGTCAACTTTACAACACAAAAACAGATTTTTGATAATTCGGACAAAAATCGATGTATACATAAGTTATATGTAAATTCTTTCTCAGCTGATCCAATTCGAGATGCCAATCGTAGTTGACATGGTGAAAACTCGTTTAAGTCAGCTGTCCATTCATAATAATTGTCTGGCATATTATACTACTTACATGTTGAATTAAGTAGTTTACTGACAAATTACAAAAGCCAACATTTGTTATCATACCGAATTCCGTGTGAACAAACCGAAATATTTTAATAGTTATCAATACAAGTAACAAACAGATAGGTGTATCTAATTTTTACAACACAGCTTCAATATACGATAACTAAAACTGTCATCCGATAAACAGTTAAGTCTTGTATTTTAAGGTGAGACATCATGCCAGTAACCTAGAAAACACCATTTGAGTTAGTCTCTCGTATTTTAGTTACATTTATAGCTATACATTTTCGGTTCACTCAAGAGCATGTTTTACATCATTTATTAAAAATTATTCTCAACATTAGGACTTTAAAACACGTGAACATAAACTGAGCAACTTTGAAAATGCCGTTGAACAAATTTGATATTTTGATCGCTGGTAACTCATCATGCATTCTGGACATGATCCAAAGATTTTAATCACTACAAATAAGTCTTATTAGAAGATATAGATACATTTTCATGTTATGTGTTATTTCGATTAACATTAAAGCGACTATGGAAATACCGACTTGTTTTACCCTTCCAAGTTGAGAAAAACCCGTAATAATTAGTCAGTACTGCTTTTTTTTCAAACAAACAACCGCCCAAAAAATCACAATAGGGATTGTGACGGATGGTTTGCTCAGTTCCCATTGCTCGCTATCACTTCTGCAATCATCTGAGTGTATTCTGATTTACATCACTTATTATGCCGTGTGTGCATAATGTCATATAAAATGTATACTAGTCACTACACAATATTCTCTGGGTAACTAAATTGTCGACACCGCCATTGGAATCTCCACAAATTTTCTTCTGCTGTATTTAGTCTAAGAACGTACATTTAGAGAAGAAATCATGTCCATATACTATTAAATTATTGGTTAACATTGTCTTTACAAACAAATGACATCGTTATATCGTCTAACTATTGAACCTCGGTTAATATAGAGTTATGATACTAACATTTTGACTTTGATTCATGATGAATCGATGTAATGTTCTCTAAGGAAATCTAGTGTTATCTCATATCCAACCAAAACTAAATATTTTCAATGGAAATCATTCAAACAGAACTAGTGAAAAAACAATTTAGTACCCATCGAATAACTGTTTTAGTGGGAAAACATTGTGGTCCCAGACATATTGAGCATATATTTAAATCACATTGAACCCATCTATTATCTCTTTATAGCTGTACCTCCAAAATTTCACAGGCCACAATCAGTTTCATGTCATCGGTGTATTTCACTTCCCTATACATGCCTTCAAAATACATTTGTTTCTAAGTTAGTATTGTGTTCATTTGTATATGTATAGCTGTTTGTTAAAAAGATTGTTATATACAATCATTTATTCCCTGACTAAATTTTTTTATGTCAATTACTCTCTCCCTGGTGTATATCAATAAATTTCTGTATTCGTATACATATATATCTATACACATATTTATGTTTTGCATGGTTGTATGTGTATGCAAGTTTATCATCTCTCATAATTCTGTTACTATTCTAATCAATTTACAGACAACTACTTCACTGAATTGTTAAATTTATTGTTGTCGCTTATGTATGTGCGTTGACTAGTGAACAAACTCATTCAAAACTGTTACCTCTCAATTCAATTTATCATTCATTCACTAATCAATCATATCGATCGGTAAAAATAATCATTCTCTTTCTCCCATCTGAAAAACAGCAGTAATTATAGTAATTAAGTAGTAAGTGGAGAAAAGAAGAAAACACAACCATAGATTATGTGCTACTATAAATACTTTACACTAGGTACGTGAGATTAGGGAGGGAAATTTTAAATTGGCATTCACCGGTTTTGCTGCGGTTATTATTTACGTATATGTAAATGTATAAATGTACTTGTTGGCTAACATCTCTTTCCACTGTTGAATCCAACAGAGTTGATCAGTATGTAACACAATTAGCATGATAACACTGTTGCAGTGTTAACTAAAACAAATCTGTTTTTTTTTCATAATTACCATTGGAATAGAGTGAACAGCACGACAGAACTTCCAACTATAGGGTGAACAACAGCAGTGGAATTCTGTTGATGCCAAAATATTATTTTAAAAATACAAAAACTCACCACAAACAGTTCCAAAAAAAAGCAAATGCTAGGCAAACGAAATTGTTAAGTATGTTTTGTCTACTGCCTCTTCCCTGTTTTGTAAATGTTAGTAGTTTTGTACCCACTGTACAGTAAACTATATACCATAGTTATGATTAAGCACGAAAAAATTGACAGATACTGATAAATTTTTAAAATGGTCAGTTGCGGTTAGTGTGAATATAAGGTATGTTAAAATACTCAGCTAGAGATGATAGAAAAAATATGGGTATTTTTTTATTTTGCATTCACTGTTGATCAAGTTTTATCAACTTTTTCATAATATTCGACATTATGAAATTATTTGTGTTATCGGGTACATATGATATTTATTTGTTCCAAATTTTTTTGAATTTATTTAGAAAAAAAACTACAAAATACAAAAAAGGAGATTGTCAGAGTTTAGAAAAATAATAAAATTCTGTCTAAAATGAAAGTTATTTTTTAAAAAATAACAAAACAATTCGGTTTATTTCTATTCGTTTTCTCATCATTTCCTCATACAGAGTATATTTTTATTTGTTCATTTCAATACACTGATCAATGTTAAATTGAAAAAAAATACAATAGGAATAATCTTTTGAAGTAATCAGTTGATTTCGCATTTCAAGCGGAGTCTCTACTACAGTATCGGTTGTAATACTAGGCAGAAATGATGATGGAATTAATTGGTTTCATAGTTGCTCTGTTAAGTACCTTCGGTACCATTATGAGAAAGAAGGAGAATCGACCTCTTTGCACCTTCAAGTATTTCTTGATTTGTGCAAAATACTGTGAATAACACCATCTATCCAGTATCGAATATCTAATTCAGATGAAAAGTGAGTTAAACTTGCCATATTTCCTGAATATACTCAGGAGGTCATCATCAATATCATCAGCTATAAGAACCCAACAAACACATTAGAAAAAACGTAGGTATATGTACTTTTACAGTTTTGATTTGTATCTGCCTAAGAGCATTGATAGTAAAATTCTAACCGAAATACATCAGTAAAATCGATATAAGTTTTAATTCGACTTGACAAAATTGAATCACAGGAAAATCTATCTACATTGAAGTAACTACTACGAGGAAGAGGAGACAATTGCCAAGCTAAATAAAAGAAATAATTCTCTTTTATGCGAGTCATAAGTTAGCTAGATGAAACAACATCTCTGTGATGGTGTTTCGTCCTCTCAGCTGAATGTTTTGGTTGTGGATCTTTCTTTGTTCTTCTGAACAACATCATCAGCACAAACTTCAGACAGATGACGAAACTTCTCATCACAGACAACTAATATTGAGCAAATCAGTCAATATACTTCCGTAGAAATATTGCAGAAACTTTTATTCAGAAGTAAAATTAACTAATATCATCCATAATGATAAAATGGGATTGTTTACATTTTCAGAAATGCGAAATCGATAATGAACAGCAGAATAATCCATTCATTGTCTAGGAAAATGTTACTAAAATCCATTTCTCCAGAGACATCGTATCATTGACAACATGTTTTTTCTTAGGTTATACTGATTAGTTATTGTTTTTTAATAATTTATATGAAACTAAGTTGTCATGTGCTTAGACATATAAATCATTACACTAATACAGTTCTTTGTTGAAGTGTATCAGACTTTAAAGTCTTTTTGAATTTCAATGATGGTAACATTCATTTATCTATCGTACACCCGTTTATGTGCTCGGCTTTGAGCTGTACTCATTACCTTTATGAATAAACTGAAGTAGATGAAGCATAGCTATTCTAGACTACTCACAATGCAATAATAATTTTCAGTCGAAATCACAAGTAGTAGCTGTTGATGGAGTTAGTTGACATCATTATACAGTTTAGCCTAAAAATCAATTCTGTTTCATTTCATGTTTTATGTGCCTCTGACAAAATTGTTTTCAATGATATACAATTTTGATCAATATTTTCTCTCAAATCTGTAATTGTAAAGTTTACAATTTGAAATGGGACTGTCAATAATATTGCTAAATTTTAATTCACTACTCTAATTATGTATATATGAATATGTTACTATTTCGATTAAATATATTTTATTAACATAATCCTTCGAATTTTGTTTTATGATTGTATAGACTATTACAGCATCCAGAGGTCTTCCAAGCTCAGAAACGCGTTATGTTGCAGCTCGTTATCTGCAAGATTATTTCGATCCCCCACCGAGACATTCCAGAAATTTCACACTTGGCAGTTATGATGTAAAATCAAATCGACCACAAAGACATGCTAATTTGAGTCGAATTCGACGTCAGGCTTTGGCAAGGGATGATGAATTTCCATATGAGACAGACTCAGAAATCATGTTTGACAATAAAGCCTTAGTTCTTGGACAGGAATACAAAGTATGCATTAAAAAATTTATAAAATTTTATTTGTTTTCTGGAATAGTCATTATAATAATCGTGATTGCTTGGTTTTCGCTTAACTGTATATTAGGTACTATCATTTCTCTATTCTCACATTTCCTCGTTACTGATATTGAGAATCTGATCGAACTCTATTAATACATATGATTGTTAAGCAGATACTTCAATAAGACCTTTAGTTAGTGACTTATTATATTCATGATTTTCACCAGTAGCAGAAATAAGAACACTGGTTTCTACCTTTTAAGGATTTGTCAATTAGATGTACTTTTGTTTCAGTGTTGATATTCAGATTGATAACTGAACACAGAACCATTCGATTCAAACCTAATTCTTTGATGTGCACTGAGAGCTGTCTAAAGAAGTCTAAGCTAACTGTTTGGAATTCAAAGTCACTTGAACTGGTGAATCATTGTCTAAATAAGTTAATTCACAAACTCTATCTCTCACTTCAGAAGTAGAAAAGACTTTCGTAAGATAAGAATATGATAAGAATTACACCTGTTTTAACGTGAATTCCTTCCTGTTACTTTCTACATTTTTCAGTTTTACACTTGGCTTTAAGCTATTCTAATCGATGTATATAGAATAAACAATGAAACTTTGCATTGCGGTAGAACTGGATTAATCCTTTAATGATTTGTATTTTAGAAAACTTTTTCTTCAGATAGTTCGTCTTCATTTATTCTGTAGTCATTATAAGTTTGTAAGAAAATATTTGTGTCTTAATACTTGGATTTAAGTCAACCAGTATACCGAGCCATTACAATATAAAAATGAATCCAGCCCAAAAGTTTGCTACTTTGTATCGATTGCTAGGATTTTCTAGTATTCTATGTTATCCTTTAGCTAAAAACCAAGATTTTAATTGATACCAATGATCTAAATTAAAAGGTAATCGATATTTTTGAGACCATGTTATCGCTTTTTCGCTAAATAAATATGTAGGGATCCAAGTTGAACTAGCGAACACGTTATCGTGTAAATTTATTTGTCGAATAAAAATTAGAATTAAAGCACCTTACGTCTATAAAAGTTTTCATCCTGACGACAAATCCGAAAGAGCCGACCGCGTTCCACAGTGCTTAGTTTTAGAGATTTACAACCTATGCACAACAGATTTTCAAAGTGTGAACGCCATATGATTCAAATTATCTTATAAAGTACTCCTTAAATAAATTTCCTACTAGTCAGCTCTTGCCATTAAGTTATATCTACAACTTTAATGGAGATTTTCTCACCGTTCATTTCAAGAACGTTACTAACGAACTATTTTATCCATGACGAGGCGGGAAATGGAAGTCTATTGATTCGTTTGATAACCTATTCACTTTTGATTACCAAGGCTAGTAATATTTACTAAACAACCTATGAAGATGGTATATATTTTTAAGTACACTGACCTAAAGCTTGTTGTTTAGTTCGATCTGTTAATGGTTATTAATGATAAATGCGATTCATAAACGTTCGTTGTTGAAAAAACAGTTCATTGCATTTAATTTATACCAAAGATTTTATGAAAACTACCACTGTTTTTCAAAGGATTGAATTTGTTTTTTACTTTTTTTATAGGCGTTCGTCAGAGCATGCGTATTTCAAGAAGATCAATCTACTTCGGATGGTTCCGATGCATGTACCTCATCTGCATGGTCCCATGGCTTTGGACCAGATCGTCAACTTCCACCATGGAGTGAAATGATGAATAAACATTTAAGAGATGGAGAATTAAGAAATAAAATTAATTCAGATTCATCCGATAATAGGAACAGTAATTCATTTGGATTTAGCTTAACGCGTGGTTTCACAGGATCAAATAATGGTCTATTTATTATTGCAATAGTTGGTGCAATTGTTAGTTTGGCACTGACTGCTGTGATCTTCACTGCATTCGGATGCATTATGCGGTAAGAAAGTACATCTCTGCATAAAACTACCATTATTATCATTTCGATGATCTCTTGTGAAAGAATTGTTCAATGTTATAAGATGTAGTGGAGATCTCTGAATTTCGTAGATTATATCATGGAGTGATCCTAGTCAGTCAATCAGTAAGGACCAGACAGCCCTGGACAGTTATTTCGTTCTAGTAAAGAACTGCTCGACAGTGCGTTGGGTTATGTACTGAACTGACTTCAGATGCCTCAAGCATTGGATAATGACTCAGTAGTCTGTATTTTTAGCTCTCACATGGAAACCAGAATGTCTTTAGTTCAACCCTTGATGAGATCTTCACTGTGACTTGTTGAAGAACCCCACACTTACATGAAACAGCTTACTGTTTCTCAGTGGTTTTTAAACCACATGAATCCGTGATATAAACTAGGTTATTGTTTAGTGATTAAAGTTTATAAACAAAACTGAGCCCACATTCCATTTTTTTCTGTTTGGACATACAATATCACTAGCTTTTCCCTAAAATATTTTAATTTAAATATATACATACTTAGTAAATGAGCTAAAGCATATCGTATTTATTACAATGTTGCAACTCTTAGTGAAATGTTACCGACCGAACATCACTATTCCTGACTACGACTATAACATGTACATGTTCGAAAAATTATCTCAAGTCAATGCGTTCAAGCTTGTCAACATTGCTTTATTCCTCCTGAAATCATCAGTATATTAAGTCATTAAAGCTAATTTCATGCTGAATAAAACATTTTGTTCTCTTAAATTTCATTGAATTAATTAATTTATTCTGTTTTCATTAAAGTCGTAAACGTCGACCTAAACTAATAAATCATTTAACTCAAAATGATTCAACAATAAAACAACCATTGATGCGAATGAATGATTGTGGTCCAGCTAATGGTAATAGTTTCCCGTTAGTCACAAGTGGGATAGAAGTAATGAATACTAATTTGACGTCTTCTTATGACAAACGCGTCAGTTCAGTTGTTGGTAATGACAGCTTACAAAGTGCCACTCTGCTAGCTGCTTCTTCGCCAGGCCCGCCACAATCCTCATTAATCTCGTCAATCTCAACTACAGGTAGACCAAATCTGATCCCATCAACAACATCAAGCCCACTTACAAGTATTACACAATTAGATCCAAGGCATCACATTAATCGGGCTGCTTCTCCACTAATCGATATGTCATTACATCATGGTTATCCCCTTGGTTTGACCAATGTTAATACTCCACCAACAATTCAACAACCAATTAATCCTTTCATTTCTCATCGAGGTGGAACTTCAAGCAGTCATACAGGAAGTCATCCAAGTTCTTTGACTGGGAGTGGTACAGGTGCAGCATACAATGTCATGGGAGTGAATAATAATTATGTCAGTGAAAATAACGCTACTACACTGTGTGATGGATTAATAATTGCAAGAAATGGTTTACCAGGCTCTGAAAGTGGACCAGAATCTGCATTTGATATTCAGCATTTACCGTTTGAAATGAAAGGTAATTAATTGAATACAATTTAACATAAACGAAATTAAATTAAAATGCGAATATGTTTAAAATAAGTTTTCATAACTGAAAATCTAATGTAAGAGCAACATTACCTTCTTCATATAATTGATCTGGTCTAACTCATTATATAAATGTAGTCTATTGCTTCAGACAATGTAGACTAATAAACATGGCCTAAAAATGAACAAATACATATTAACAATGAGCGTTAACATATTAAATCCAACAGTTTCGTTCATACTTTCCGTGTATTTGGTCAGTGAATACTCAATAATCTAGCGCAATTTTTATTAATAATTTCAAATAATTTATTGTTAGACATCTGAAAAAAGAATCAAATCTTGCTAACAACTTGTCAGTTACATTTAAAAAAATCATTCTATGTCATTGTAAACGAATAAAGTACTAAAATGTTTTTGTGAAACAGATTTCCATTAGCCAATTAATAGGTAAAATGAATTCTGAACAAATTTTCACTACTCATAATAAAATCTTGACTAGCTGAAACTTCATGAAAAATATTGTACACAGTAAGCTGAAACACAAGAATCAATTCTATTTCTTATCTGATAATGATTTCCAGTGCTTCTAATTGATACTTATCTGGCTAGCGATTTTTTAGCGGGTTACTTTTCTACGGGATAAGTTGCTAACCTCATACCCAACACTTTTCGTTTACTTGTGCCTGGGGGCCGGAATTACTCTCAGAGGGGCACCAGGTGAAGTCAACTAGACTTGATTATTAGAGAAACAAATGTTTTTTTTCGAACACAACATCTCATATCCTTGGATGTGTATGTAAACGGTTTGGCTTTGCAGAAATTTCGAAAAAATAAGAAAAATAATTATGATCGAAGTATAACATAATTAGTTCTTTCGTTTTCTAATTTAGTAAAAATTATTTCCTGAATGTCGAGCTGGCAATCAAATAAAACCTTAAAATGAATTGCCTTTGAAAATCATACATTTTTAATTTTTTTTATCATATCTTAGCAGTATTCCACTGGAAAAGGTACTTGTGTATCCACAATTATTCTTGATAGGATACTTTGTAGGAGAGTGTAACGAAACTCCGTTGATGAACAGATTAAATGCGAATCGATTCACTAAATAATGAGCATGTGTTTGTTGGTGACTTGCCTTAAGGCTAATTCCCCATATTTCTATACTAAAGCTACAACTTAAGAAGACAACTTAAGATGACAGTAATAAACTATGGAACACATTGGTGAACCATGAAGTTGTTGAGCACGCACAAACAAACATTTTAAAGTATAAATATGTAAATTCTAAAAATAATGACTAAACAATCACAAAATTGCACCGTTTTGAAGTCGAATTTTAAAAATAATATGCATAGTATGATAGAGATCCAGAGTGAAACAAGCTGCCTACATCCTTTCCATTTTTTTTCCATATAACAAAATTATGTGACGGGATTGAAGAAAATCATGCATCTAATACGCAAACACTAAGTCGACTAAAAATGTCCACCTTTAACAGAATAAATTATTTTGTGAAAGTTGTTTGCTTATTTAAAATACTTTACCGCCATCTAACAATGTACAGATTGATTGTGGCAAATAATAATTTGATAATATCCAAATTATTATATTTAAAATATTTTCATTAATTGATATTGACCTTGGTATTTTGTTTTTGTACTATTTAAAAATTATCCTAGGTCATTCAATGCATCATCCAATCCCAGTTAACCTTCTACCAGACCATGTAGCTCGACTTTCAGCGGCAGATAATTTATTATTCTCACAAGAATATGAATCTATTGAAACAGAACAACAATTTACCTGGGAAAATTCCAATCTTGATATGAATAAACCTAAAAATCGTTATGCCAATGTGATTGCATATGATCATTCCAGAGTTGCTTTACAACCGATTGATTGTGTTCCTGGTTCTGATTACATTAATGCAAATTATATCGATGGTTATAGACGAATGAATGCTTACATTGCTACTCAAGTAGGTTAATCTGAAAAGTTAATCACAAACAATATTTTTCGAATTTATTAAATTTTTAATGCATTAAATTAACCAATCTTATTATCTGTTTAGAAAACCTAGGCATATCCGTCGCATTGATTGTGAAACTATTTGACCACTATTTTCCACTATTTCAAAAACTGTATGAATAAATAGACGCTAGTGTAACAGATTTGTGGGAACTGATGGATTTTTTGGTTTACATCACAAAGTGAGCTTACGTAGATTGTTATTAAAATCTGCGAATCATTGGATATATATCTCGTTCTGGAACAGAACTCTCCAGCAGCTAGTATCCACTACCCATGTTGAATCAAATTAATTGAATTGAAAAGTCTAAATCATTTGAAACTGATTCAAAGTTATCATGACTGAACGCTTGCGATGGTCTGAAATTTGGTTCAAGATTGGGTAAATGATTACGAGCTTCTAAGTAGTCTCATACCAGGGCGAAACAATCACGAAATGATGGAGAAACTTTGAAGCTTAAGTGGATGATTGTGCTGGAGTTTCGCTCTCTGAGCTGCATGTTTCGGTTGTGGAGTCTTCATTGTTCTTCTGAACAATATCATCAGCACAAACTTCAGATAGAAGATGAAACAGTTATCCATGAATACCTGGTTTTTAATAGTTGTTTAACTACACTCACTTGGTGGTCCGAGCTGTAAATGGAAATAAAATTGTTTGCTTTGAAAATTGGACGCTACTCCTTTAAAGAATTCCTCTGATGATGCGATGACTGATCACGTCAGACTGATCAATTGCTTATAGTATTCGAACAAGGAATTGTTAAGAAAAATAGTCAACTATACGATAAAAGAACTCTGTTCAACTTTGATTTTAAAATAATGTAAATAACTATAATAAAATAAGCACCTTGTATGTGCTATATTATTTGAAGATTGTAACAATCATTAAACCAACATGCATAACACTGATATTTCGAAACATTAAACAAAGCTATCTAATAAGGTCAATAAAGTATATTTACGGGTAAAACATTTTTATTAACTATTTCTGTAGAAGTATGATATTTCAATATTATCGTCAACAAATAAATTAAGAACGTTTCATGTATCTTTGATATATATATATACATATATATATATATATATATATATATATATATATATATATGTACATGTATATATAATTTGTAGTAGAAAGATTATGTTCAAATGGGTGGATCGACAATAATCATCAGTGAACTTAATTTTAATAATACTAAAAGCTTGCATGTACCCACATTAGTTTAATCACTACTTCACTATAACAACCATAAATCTTTACACTGAGAATGAATTATGTACATAATCAGAGCAAATAGTAAGCGTAGATTTGAAATAACGGTTGTTTAAACCCTTAAACTACAACATAGTACAAATGAATACTAAATTTTTCAAATATAAATGGCTAGATCATTTATCTGGTAATGTGTATCATATCTCTGGTGAAATATACTGAATTAGTTTATGAATCTTTTGAAAAGCCGTATGTTATACAGTACTTTTTTCTACATTTGATTCTTTCTCATTTTATTCATGTTCATTATTTTTGTCCAACTCTAAAGGGTCCTACACCGGAGACATTTTCCGATTTTTGGCGTATGATCTGGGAACAAAGGGTGTCAATCATTGTAATGATGACTAGATTAGAAGAACGTTCCCGTGTTAAATGTGACCAGTACTGGCCATCACGTGGACCAGAATCATTTGCAAGTGGCCTCTTATTGGTTAAACCTATTGAAACCATTGAACTAGCTTATTATACCATACGTACATTTCATTTAACCGCTCGTGGAATTGAAGATGAATGTAGAGAAGTTAAACATTTTCAATTTACAGGATGGCCAGATCATGGTGTTCCTGAATATCCCATTCCGCTTTTATTATTTATTCGACGTGTTCGAGCTACACTGGCATCCAGTACAAGTAATATGTTTCAATCGAATCATAATATAGAACAAGCACCGATTGTTGTTCATTGTTCTGCTGGTGTAGGAAGAACAGGTTTGTTGCTTAGCTTTGAGATTATGCTTGAATAAACCCTAAAAAGGACAATGTTAAATTTGTAGAATTATCAGCTTTTCCATTATTCAGGAAGTCATCTACAATTGGAACAACAATCTTTTAAAATTTAACTAGATTCATTTAAATTAGGGTGTGAATATGCGACATATTGTAATGAGATTACATAAATATTTCTTTATCCGATACAAGAACTTATTACACTACATTTGAGCTTCATTAACACCCAAATACTAAATAACAGTGTATTAAACTGTTCAAATAATCATTATACATGCTTTGAAAATGACTGAATTTTAAGCAAACGATACAATCTATCATGTATTTAAATGGACTCACTGGAAATTTATCAATCACTGTACAGATTCTACATAAGAAGTGTGAAATAAGTATATATATATATATCACTTTTTAACAGGAGAGATTTTCCAAGACGCTCACATTTTGGATATCATTTAAACAAAAGTCATTTTCTAAGAAAATGTATGCCTTCAATAAAAAACCAAACATTGTACATTAAATAAAGATAAGGTTTTTTTTCAAAGTTTAACATAAACTTATATTCAATGTATGGAAGCTTGAAAACAAAAACACTATTTTATACATAATGATCTGCACAGTCTCATGGGATATCAAGATGATAATAAAAATAACAATAATAGCAGTAGTAGTAGTGGTAGTGGAAGTAGTAATAATGATAATACTAATAATAATAACAATAACAGACATAAAACTTTATGAATTCTGTCAGCATAGTACAGGAAACACACACATATATACACACACACAAACACTTATATTCATATTCATTTCTAAGGACAGAGAAGCCAATGAGAGTATGAGAAATATGTGGTTTAGTTAATAATATTATCGACCGACTACAGTGGTTTACTCGTATATTTCTACCATCCTACTTTCTTTCTCTTGGTTATTTTTTTTATTCCTTTCAATAACTCATTATTGAACTGGTTTAAATTTTTCTACGTTTTCTTCATAACATTCAAACATTCATTAGTGAAATTCAAAAAACAGGTCAAATATAAGGAATAAGTTTAATGCTTAATAATTCTTCCTAACCTTAAAGCATCAGGTTTCGCAGTTGTAACATCATATTTATTGTATAACAATTGTAAAAATAGAATATTAATCAAAAGAAAACGTGAATTTGGCTGGGTTGTACATCGAAATAGAGAACGTTTGCATGAGTTATAATTTCTGTAGGTCTACTCTATGTCAATTTGAAAATTCGTTAAAGATTAAATAAGAATAGTTCTTAACAGTTTTCCATCTTAATCACACTACTTGGTTTCACTGTATTCTAAAAATGTGAACTGTGCGAAAGTTTGAGAATGAAAGTGTGAATGAAAGTACACCTAAGTAAACGTTTTTTCAAATATTTCAAGTGTTTTTTTCTGTTCCAACTAGGCAGTGGTATCGGGGGAAAAAACACGGACAACTTCATTGTGAATTCTTGCATATACTTAAAATTTAACATACAAAGTACTTATGCATAATGTACATTTCCTGAAGTCATTAAAAAAATATGAATAAAATTACAAGTTAATGTTTGCTACTTATAAATTATTTCAGTGTAAAATATCAACATAATTGTATTCAAACTGCACAACATGTAAGAATATATTATACACAATGTACAAAAATCTCTAGGCTCGCTTCATTTACATCAAAACAATTATTCGCTGAAATTAATGAGATTCTAATGGGTAAAATAGAAAAGTATTAAATGTCTTGTTCATCTACGATAGGGGACACATATACTGCAATTTTGTGCTCTATCAATTCATAAATCCTTTGGAGATATGAAACATAAATTGTATAATTTCAGAGGTTCGGCGTTCGCGCTCAAGACCGAAGGTCCCGGATTCGAATGCTGTGGGGTATAGGAGTCATGGATGGGCACTGCTGATAAGTCCCATACCAGGACGAAACGGCCCTCCAGTGCTTTGAGGTTTCTAATGGTGGTTTAACAATGATTGATTGATGATTTCGATGTGCAAAAAACACTAATTTCCACAGCTCTAATTGAAAAATTTTAAGTCAAAAGCCAAAAATCTAGTATTAACACCTCATGGAAACTTTATTTGAATTTAGTTTATTTGAATTAGTTTTTATTTGAACAGATAAATAAGGGTTCGTTTTACTAAGTAGACATCATGAATTATTGAGTGATTGTGTTTTCCAGACGATTAAATTGTGGTGGTGTTTTGATTGTGGAGCTCCACCTGAGCTACAAGTTTTCTCCACCATCTCAAAGACTATTAAATCTCTAGCTTATTCAGCTGAATTATTAATTGACGTAGTACAGTTACCTAGATAAATTAGACCGAATAATTGTATGGATATCAGAAACTGAAAAAAAATCATCGATTAAAATTCATAGGCTATGCATATGAGAATTACCAACATCTGTTCATTCTGAAAAAAAGTAATTTTTTCTTATCACGGAATGAACAGTTTTTATGATAATCTGAGTGAATAGTTCATTGTCTCACTACTACACTGTAGAATCTCAGTCGGAGCAACCATATTAAGAATTATCTTTTATGTTAAACGAATGCAGCATTCAATATTGTAGCTAGCAGTGAAGTAGAGAATATGGATTTCGATCACTTTTGTACCTGCATTTGAGTGTTCATTCTCACACGACTGACTGTTTATCAGTTCCGACATATATCCCTGTTTCATTGTAATAACAAACTTCCCTCAACGTTACAAAACCATAATTTTATCCGTACATTTAAAAATTACATATTTCATGTCTCTAAACTTTGCATATAACTTGATAAATCCTAAAAACTGTTGTTTAACAATCATTTCCTTAAAGGCAAAAGCAACACTGTAAAAATACTTAGAATATACCATAAAATATTTAAAACCTCCAGGAAACTCATTTCCTCCCCCCGCCACCAATTGTTATCCTTATTTCCAGTGTTCAGTGAATCGACAAGTCACATAGTTATAGGACAAAAGAGTATAATTTGACCGATAAATTCCAATCTCTAATTAAAAAAGGTAGATATAAATTATAACAGATGCCGTATAAAAATTAATTTTTCTTTATCATATAAAATTAAATGTAGTTAATTCATCTGCTTTGATATATATGATTTCTTTTCCGAAAATCACGTTTACATCTCAGGTGCGTTTATTGTAATCGACATAATGCTGGAACGATTAAAATACGAGAAAACTGTAGATATTTATGGTTGTGTTAAAGCATTACGTAGACAACGTAATTTTATGGTTCAAACAGAAGATCAATACATTTTCATACATTCAGCTCTTTTAGAAGTAATAGATGCTGGAAATACTGAAGTACTAGCTAGAAATCTATCTGCTCATGTTAAAAAATTACGTATGTTGGATACAACCGGTGGATCAGGCATGGAATTGGAATTTAAAGTAAGTTAAAATTTTCGAAAATGAATTACTGTAATGTGTATTCAATAGAAAGATCGTTTTACATCATCAACTGAATTTGTTTTGAATATAAACGAAATACAGCTTGCACTTGAAAAATGTTTTAATTCATTTCAAAACTCTAGAACATTTTGCACGCGAGACTTATCAGGAGACTAGATTTAGGACCTTCAAATATAGCGGTCAGCGCTTGTCTTTAAACAGCATTAGCCTGAATATTTCCGTCCTTGGTTTGTACAAACTATATATACATATTGGCTGAAGCATGTCTTATAGTTGATAATTTATTCAATACGTTAAAATATATAGATAGTTAATAACGATACATACGAATAATGATAGTATTCGAAAGTGCGTCTAAGTTAAGTCGTGAAATGAGAATTATTTGAGGGACAATAAAATAATTTTTCAGTTCCTCACCTGTAAATGCAGCCATCTATCGAAGTGAATAAGTATAAGCAAATTACTAGTTTATTAGATAATTCCAGTCATCATCTATGTATAGTCATTGATTATCAGGTTCTAAATCACTTTGTAATCTTCGTGTCTTAAAAGCAAAGTCGTAAAACGCCTTCATCTCTATCTCTCTCTCTCTCTCTGTACGTATCGTTTTTGGATTTTATCACTTGAAAAAAATTAGTATAAAGCACGGTTATGAACAACACTGCTTAGAATATATCAAGAAGTAGCTACTTACAGGATGATTTCTACTTTTCAAGTTCATTTGATATTTACTCGACATAATATTTTATCCTAACTAACCCAAAAAGAATTACTGCAAGAATACTGACCGATACAACTTATTGATCATTTTGCTAGTAATGCTAACAGTCAATAATAATTTTAACCTATGGTGTATAATACAGCCAAATTCTATCAAACAACTTTATTTTTCGGTTTATGTAGACTAAATTACAAAATCACTAAAATTTACCTTCGAAGAGGCTATTTTAAATAAATTAAATCATTCATTTATCATTATAGATTTTCAGAGTTCAACGTAAAAATTGTTGAAAGAAATTTAATACTTTCAATCGATTATATAACACTTTGATTATTGATAAGTATTTTTCTTAAGCGTTCTGTAAAAAATATGTTATTTCTCATCTACTGATATCCGTCGAAGTATCAGTGATAACCAAAGAACATTGGACTGTCACTTCACTAATCTCAGTTTCAAATCATCTAAAAATGTGCATCAATCATTGAACAGAAGTTAGAAACCAATTTCTACAGATCTCTTCAAAAAAGATTTTCCCTTAGACTAGTTTGGATTAATTCATATTATGAGACATTTTTCTTGTAGCTAATCGTTTTATTTAAAATAAGAACACTACACATGTATAATCCCTGTGTTCATCAACAAATCCGTTATTCCCATTAGCAAAATATCTCAAATCATTTCGAAAAAATATTTCATTCCAGTTTATATGATCCAGTTGTACTATTATTATAAAGTAAGCAGTACAGTGGTAATTCAACACAAATATCCAAAATGAATAAATGACTCTCAAATTGTACTGTTTGAAATTGATATTTTCTTTGCTTCATAGAAATAGATGAAATCAACAGATGAGCAGTTGAGCTTCACGCAGAATTAAGGTTACAGGTTCATTTTCGATCTTAATCTATGTACAGAATATTTTAAAGGGTTAATCTGTCAAGTTCAATGAATATTTATCAATCATTCATGCGAATACATAAATACGGAACTCAAGATTCTGAGAAGAAATTAATTCCAACATAAGACTTGGTCAATTTATTTGTATTGTTTGTGTTTGAATCATCTCATTGATGTTTAGTTTGATTGTAATTGATTCTATATTAAACAATACCTAGTTTAAGGTCAAAATCACAATTTCATGGAATTTTTTTCATACTAAAGTATGTTATCGTTCAACAAACAATACTCAACTAAGCGTAGTAAAACGAAAAGGGAAAATTAAAATAAAAACCAGCCTCAGGGAATGTAATTTATATGTTTATCAGTCACATAAACAATGAATGAATTTATCATTCACAAAGGTCAACTAACAGATTTTATCATGATGATGAGTTAGAAGTTCATCTGTTAGTGAAATTTATTTATCAGGAATAAGCTTCAAACTAATAATAGTATCTATTATATACAACTATGAATCACTACTCTAAACTAACTACAGATTAATCAATCCGATTTGCCATTCACAGATAAGATGATAGGAATATTCAATTATTGAGATGGTTTGTTGTATTACAATAATATGTTCTTTCTCTTCTCATTGTAAATAATGTTTACTCTAGTAAAAGTACTAAAAATTAAGGGTCATTACATTTTGAACAAAACACATCATTAGAAGCCAGCTTTTCTTTTATTCAGAAGATACTGGAAAATAATGTACAGTTTAAACGATATATATTAACTTGTTCTTACATAAAATAAACTGAATCATTCAGATATTATAATTTCATAGAATATATGTAAAGCAGATAAATGTAAATAATGAATGGATCATTGCTGGACTACCATTAGAATCCTGGATGTATTGGACAGCCGTTTTGTCCTAGTATATTACTCTTCAGCGGTGCTCATCCATGACCCCTGGATGTGGGGATTGAACAGAGGACCTTCGATTTTTTGCACGAACGCTCGACCTCTAAACCACTAAGCCGGCATCCAACGATATAAGTGTCTAACTTTGATCTATCTAAGGTTTTGAGCAACCTTACCCATTGTCTTTGATAGTTACTGCCTACACTTGACAAGGCTGAACTCCACTGGTCACGGCTTCTCGCTAGATGTCCCAGAGTTCCTTCACGAAGCTAGTCACTAGTGCGCAAATCTGATTGATGTTCAATTATTTTAATAAAACCTAAAAACCTCCATAACTCTATAATGTAAAATGTTAATAATCTTGATTAAGGATACATTCTATTAGGAAAGATAATCCGGCTAGGTGTACATCTTCAATATGGAATATAAAATTCATTAATTTACTACTAAGTAACATTAGAAAATATGAACTTTATGAAATGTTTCAGATTCAAATGACTTATTACCCTTGAACACTCACCAATCTTTCAGTTGATATCAGTTTTTAACTGAAATCAACTTTATACGAGTAAACATTTATCACTGGAAGTTACTTGATTTCTAATTACTGTATAATGTCATATTTGTTTATTGCTTTAATTCTGTTCATATGTAAACAGTATCGAGTCACTCAAACTATTAGATACGTCTAGAGTCTATCGATTAAATTTGGTCACCTTAAAAAGACAAGATAAACATGACAATATTTACTTCTCAGTTATTAATCAATTGTAAATATTGCCAGACTACATTCAGACTAAGAGGCTCATCGGTGAAGCTTTCGATTGTGTAGTTGAATTGATGTGGGTTTAAATACCACCAAGAATGACAGTTCACTTAAGCAATCGAATACGCCTACATAACGAATGCAAAATACCATGTAACCCAAATTTAAAGTTTCATCTTCAATGAAATTCATCCAGCTATCATATTGTTTGTGTTTTTTTCTCAGATAAATAAATCAATAGATTTTATTTTGAAATAAAATTTCATAAGGATCAGCAACAATAATATTATGACCTACTAGTAATTCTTTTGTACACGAATTCATTCAATGAAAATGTTTATTTTGAATATATATATATGATCGACTTTATCTCAAAAATAAACACAGTTTTAACATTTGTTTCTACTGACTTATTTTTATTATTATTATCATTAGGATATTGATATTCGTTTAAAGTAAATTTAAGCAAAACATTTGAAAAATTATTTTTTTTTCTTTCCGAATTTTATATTTTGATAATGAAATAATGGCGTGGAACATAGTGAACTATTCATAAATTAAATTCAAATGAAAAATGATATTATTTAAAGAAAAATTCAATAACAAAACATTTCATTTTTTTCTCTTATTTTGTTTATTATACTTTTATCTAGTAAAGTATAATATTTCTTCAGAGTAAAAACATAATTTAGTTTGTGATTCAAAATGAATTATCGGGGAAATAACAAACGTTTTACATCATTCACTATTTTGATAATACTTTAACTTATCAAATAAATGTTCAATAACATTTAAATTTTAAATTAAATTGAAATCTGATAAGATACTGTTTGTTTTAATTAAATTAATCATGCTAATATACTGTGTTAAATTTTTATGTCCATCTGTTAGGTAGACAAACATGCATATCGACTTTTAACGTATTGTAATTAGTGTAAATCTTTAAAACAAACAGCATTGAAGATTGTACGAAATGAAGTGATGTAATCCCATAATTGTACACTATTTGCTTACCATAGTCCAATCTATAATTATGTATATATCTCACCGTCATATTTGATAATTGTCAAATTTTTTTCCCATAAACTTCTAACTAGTTTATTCCTAATAACATTTTTTATGTTAGAAATTGGCCCAATTTCGATTACCGCATGCTAAATACACTTCAGCACAGCTAGGTTATAATAAGAATAAAAATCGTCTATTAAATATATTACCATATGAATCTACTCGTGTTCCATTGCAACCTATACGTGGTGTTGAAGGATCGGATTATATAAATGCTAATTATGTGGATAGTTATCGTGATCGAAGAGCATACATTGCCACTCAAGGTCCAATGGCTAAAACAGTGGAAGATTTTTGGCGAATGATATGGGAAACCAATTCTAACATTGTTGTCATGTTAACTAATTTGAATGAACGAGGTCGAGTAAGTTGTGACTTTTTTAATCCATTTAACTGGGAATTAATGGAAATATTATTCACTTGCATTAGTCATTACTTTGTTATAGTCACCATTAATTTCTCATAAATTATACAATTATTGATTATTTAGTTTTGTTAACGATGCATTGAAATAGTTTTCACATTTTAACTCAAGTAACCAAGTTACAGTCCACCATTCAAAGCCATGTAATTGAAATCCATGCAATGAAAAAAACAAGTAATTTTATTTCAACTTGTAATCAATTGAAAATGAACTACTCACTAACCTATGGAGTGTATATGGAATACAATCTTTGATGTGTTCTGTTTAAATCTTGATTTAAATTACTGATATACTTTTGTTTCTTTTTACATTCTCTATGAAAGGAAGTTGTTTTAGAAGTTGTTTTGTCGGTGATTAAGATAACATGACTTTGTTTATATGCGACTATTTATTGGAAAAAATCCAATAATCAATTGAAATATGAATAATCTATCTTGAAACATTTTCATTGTTTATGAGTACAACGACAATTTTTGTTTAACGAATGAGTTTTACTTGTTTCTTGTTAATTGTTTACTGCTGTCTACTTATACTGTTATCTGAACTGGTAAGGACTGGCATATTTATGAGTCACATTAAAGTAACGACAGCCAGCGAGTCAGGTAATTATTTTATATCAATAGTCTTTTTTGTACTTCAAATTACGGTTGGATGTTATTTATACTACCGCCAGAAACCTAGAAGCACTGAATAGTTGTTTCGATCTAGTATGAAACTCCTCAGAAGTGCTCATCTACAGTCTGACATCCAAGCATTGAACCCTAGACCTTTAATCTTCCATTCAGTTCTTTTTCTATTTGAAGTAGGTAAGTTATGGTGTAATATAACGGTGACGTAAACTTGCATATTTGTTTCCATTTTACAGGAATGCTGTTATCCTTACTGGCCAACAGATAGATCATCTCGATATCAGTATTACGTTGTAGATCCTATGGTTGAGTATAATATGCCAAATTATACATTGAGAGAATTTAAATTAACCGATGCACGTGATGGTCAGGCACGTACACTTCGACAATTTCAATTCACCGATTGGCCTGAACATGGTGTACCTGAGAATTGTGAAGCATTTATTGATTTCCTTGGACAAGTACATAAAACCAAAGAACAATTTGGACAAGATGGTCCAATTACTGTACATTGCAGGTAAACAGATTAAAATAATTTTTTTACGCCACACTTGTAAAATAATCTTGAAAAGCAATTAACTTACATTCAGAAGATTCAGAAAATATTAATTTTTTTTATGAAGTAGTATATTCCATATCCCTTGTATGAAATTTATATCAGTGTATTTCAAGTTTCACTTTACCACTAAAATATTGAAAAAGCATGTTTATAGCCGCACAATCAATTGTCAGTCAGTTCTTTCGAATAGATTTCAAGCCATACTTTTTAACACAAATTGAATAGCGATCGATTTGAAACAAAGAAAGTCAGATTTTTGCTTATCAGCAACATATCAATGCGTTCATCTTGCAAAGTTCCAAAGTGATAATAGTTCGAACCATTAAAAATCCGGATGAATCAGATATCGGTTTCATTTTTAGCAGATTTCATAAGATCGCAAATTTATTGGAGTTATATACATAAACAAATAGATTCCGGCTCAATGGCGTGAAGTTTAAGAAGCCATAGCTTGACATAAAGTTCCTAGTTTCAAAGAGAATATATATATATATATATATATATATATATATATATATATATATATATGATAAAGGAAGCTGGGGTACACCAATGTTCTTAAATAAAAACAAACCATGTAAGGTCTATTTCAATTTATGACAGAATCTTGGTGATTTAAATTCTTAATCTATAAGGGATTAAGTCGGACGGCAAATGAAACTATGTACAATCCATATCAGGACGATATTTTGTAATATGTAATTTATGTGCAAGAACGATAACACAAACTTATTGTCATTGTATGCTAAAAATTCCCTATTCTTTTTGTTCGTTTATATTAAATGTACAGCCGAAGATTGGCAATAGAGAATAAGATGATACTCATCTGCCTTCTTTTTAACTTGCTAAATTTCGAATTGACTGTAAACTTTTTAATTGGTTTACTTAATAGCCCCTTGAGTAAGTTCGATGAATTTAAGCTGATATTTATTATCACAAAAAGTGGTCAACTATTACTACTACTACTACTACTACTACTACTACTACTACTACTACTACTACTACTACCACTAAACTACTGCTACTACTGCTACTACCACTACTACTATAATAATAATAATAATTTGGCTCTGTCCTATCATTTTGTTATTCATCATTAAAAGTTATTGAACCTTTTGTTATTTGATCTTTAGGAATAATAAAAAGCTTTCAATATAAGTGATTCACATCTCTTTTTGCATTTTAGTGCTGGAGTTGGTAGAACAGGTGTATTTCTAGCCCTTTCCATTCTTCTTGAAAGAATGAGACATGAAGGCGTTGTAGATATGTTTCAAACTATCCGAATGCTTCGAACACAAAGACCTGGTATGGTTCAAACTGAAGATCAATATCAATTTTGTTATGACGCAGTGCTAGAATATCTTTCATCGTTTGATCATTATTCCATATGACACGTGAGAAATGTCAATATTAATGATAATCAGATAATCAGATAAACAGATAAGAATGAGTTGTTTTGAAAAAGCATTAAAATTGATTTAAATTCTTTATGCCAATTTCAACTAGTCAACATTAATTCTTAATCAACTATTTACTTTCAAATTACTTTGAAGTTGTCTGTGGTGTTGGCTTTATGCTTTGAGTTTTTCAATGTTCAATTAAATTTTTTATTCTGTACATTGTACTACTACTACACTCTGCTTATCTTGTGTTTATCAACTATTTATTCAATGTCAACTCGTGCGCGAACACGTGTGTGTGTGCACGTATTCGTGTACATGGATCATTTAAAGCGTGAAACGTAGAAAACTGTCCCGGTTTTGTGGCCCGTCGGCAAAATGTACACTGTCTTCTTTTTCTCCAATAAACTGCATAACTAATTAATCGATGTCTATACATAGTATATCAGATGAATGATAAGAAGCTGGCTTTCTTTACTGTTTATTAGGTCCTATGGAAAAATGAACGAAAAAATATCTATCAATTTTGTGCTTATCCGTTGTGTCAAACTGTTCTTCCATAACTTGTCTACCATCATGTTATTGTTTATCTTTGATTGTTCCCAACAGATTTTGTCTAGTATCTTATAACTCTCTTCCGTGTTTTTTTTTTATTTCCCGAACTGATATGCTTCTTAAATATGATAGAATACTTTTTGTTTTTTTGCTTTTCTATTTCTCGACAAAATTTTTTCAACTTAATTTGTTGTCCTTTGATTACTGTGCAGTTTCAGTTGAGGGAAGAAAGGAAAAGACCAATTCCAATGTAGATGCACTTGTAGATACATGAAACTAAGTATATATATGTGATAATGATATACATATATATCTATGTATGTACTGATAAATATGTATACATTTTCTATGTTATAATCGGTAAATTGTACCGTTTCTATGCATAACACTATTAATATTATATTATTCCTATTTTTTATTTGAAGAGAAACTTTCACTGCGTGTTTGTAAAGATTTCGACTAATGAATCTTATATCTATCTATCTATATATAATATATATTTGTATAAATAGTATTTGAATGTCTCGTGTAGTTTTGTTTGTTTTTTTTAATTAAAATTCAAAACTATTATGCATAGGGACTCTGATACTCTCATGTACATACATGCAGCATACATGTTTAAATGGTCAATTACTTGCAATATACCGGATGATGTGACTATGATTTTGTTGGATAAACCTCTATTCTACTATTACTATTACTATTATTTAACGTAAAACAGTCATGTTAACAATCAACTCTTTACTGGCACACTTCACTATGTATTTTAAACTCTACTTAGTACTGATAAAGCAAAGTAGTTATTATCGAAGAGTATACCTTTAAGGTACCATTCGTTCCATAGAATGCAAGACAACTAGTAGGAAGTGCACAAACTGAATTATACAACAAAAACAACAACAACAACAACAAGCAGATTTTTGCAAGAAAACTAATTGAAATCTTCTTAATTTCTACTTGCCAGTATTTCGTTTCTTTCGTTTCTTTGTACAATTTGAATGTGAATGAGTAAATAATGCTGAACAAAGCTATTTGATGTGAATGAACAAATTGAATAGCATTTGTTGTATTCTCATTACAATTCACAATTAACACAATAATACACCTATAACAAGCATAAACTATCTTGATCAATTTGAAATGAATAGTGAAATAATTATGTATATAATACTAATAATAATAATTATTATGATTATTATTATTATTGTAATTGCCATTATAGGTATACTTTTTTTGAACAAAAAGTAATTTTTAATTCAATTTATGGAGAGAGAAAAAGAAAAGGAATTTTCAAATTTTTTTTCAAAATATTACTGAAATAATCCGTTAAATAATAAAGTGTTCCAAGAAAGTTTATTTAGAAAAAACTTTTTTTGATAGATTACAAAAATTTGCCATAAACTAATGGACATATTCTTGCATGCCAATAATAACTAAGTCTAAAATTAGACAATCTATGTTGTAATAAGCAATAAAATTAAATTGCCATTCAGCTTGGCTGGACATGTGTCTGTATGCTAGTGGAAGGAGAAATACGTTCATAAAGTTTATTGTATACAATAATTTCTAATTCATTTTGATAGATAGTTGTTTTTTTTGTTTCTACAGTAAACAAAATATTCTGAGAATTATGAATTTTAAAAAAAATGTTGAATTGATAAAATCATCATCAGGAAGTTTTTTATAACTGTGTCGCAGAATGTAGTTAGCTTATATAATCTGTATAAAGATTGCATAAGGTTTATTTCGTTAAAAAAGTGATATAGTGAGAAATTCATTTCGCGTCTTGTGTTGTTTAACCAGTTTGCTGTGCAGGTTGCTGCTTTCTAGTGAAATCATGAATTGATCATCGTTGGATCACCATCAGCAACCCGGCCCAATGGTTTTGAGGTAAAGCGTTGACGTGCGAGATTGAAGGTCCTAGGTTCGATTCCCGAGAGCAGTAGTTGTGGGTTCCCACAGTTGATGATTCTCATCCTAGGAAGATTTAGTTGTCCAATACCTCCAGGTTTCTAATCCTGGCCTAGCAATGATTGATTCATGATGTATATATATACTTGATCATACTGTTAAGACGTGTTGAACTCCAGAGACAATTGAGTTCGGTATAAAATCTTTGCATTATATCGAGTCAGTTTGAAATACCAGTCAGTAGTGGTCTTATGAATAACGTTTGTCAAAAGAACCAAATATGAACTATGAATATTTTTTAACAATAATCAGAAAGTCATTGTATTAATGAAAATGACACGAAAACCTACGTGGATTTTATTGAAATATATATATAATTAATCATAAATTTATTCCCGTCTCAATTTTTCATCGATTTTCAAACAAATCATCTCATAACTGACAGATTTGTAGAAAGTTTTTATCATCATACCATCTGATCAATTTGCCAGTCACTAAGTTTTACATAAACATTAGATAGAATGTGAAAAACTGAAGCATTTAGTAAACTATTTACGAACGTATTAATAACCCAAAACATAAGCTATTATACTGTCAAATGAATGGACTTCCGTAGCGGTATTATCCAAATTTTAAAATTGAAAAAAACTAATCATAGACCTTAGAAAATGCATAATCAATGTAAAACCATTAATGACATGTAAATTCCATTACCCTGCTGAATGCTCACTTGCGAATAAATATGCGCATGAAAGTGGTTTAATCATTTTAGCCCAATACTCTCAATAAAAGCAGAATAGTATATATATATATATATATATATATTTTACTGGTTCAGCAAAACAAAATATGGTTTCTATGAAAATATCAGCTATGTTTATGTAATTAATTATATATACATTGAATGTCTCTTAATATTTTCATAATGGACTATGGTTTTCAATATACATTTGCATGAAAATTTATCACTAATTACTGATTTTATTTCATTGTGCTTAGTTAGTTGGTAATTCATGATTATATAAGTGCAGAACTAATTACAGAAATACAGACAATATGCTTTAAAACTAGAGATCGATAAGAATCGCATGAAAAACTGCGATAAATAGGATGCAGTTTAAAATACTAAACAAAGTATTTTCAAAGAAAATAACAGAACTTAGTATGGAATAAATGAGATAAAAAATGGAAAATAGAGACCCATTTTGATAGAATTCTTGATACATCAGTTGGAACCTTGACGTTTTACATACAGGCCTTAATTTTGAAGTAGATTCGAATAGCCACTCACTAACTCTATACGGTTTTAATATCTTGGATAGCGAAATTCAACATTCTTTGATTCAAGTTTACTTTAGTTAGAATGTTACAATAATAAATAATGTCAGCAATGGTTATCGCTTAACTTGATACAATATGTCTGATCACGGAAACGAAAATTTTTAAAACAAAATAAACAGGACTCTAATACTCATCATACATGTAAATAATAAGAGAACTATCCAATGGATCTGACACAGTATTTATCTACCATTCATACTTATCCACATAAATGTACTACTGATATCACTCCTATAGAATATCGTCTTACCAACATGCATTGCATTATATATGTATATTTATATAATGTATGTATGTTTGTGTGTATGACATGTGTTCATGAAACTAAATGTGATTGACCAAAGAACGTGGACAAACAGGCATTTGAGCCACTATCTATCACATGTGATCCCTTTTCCTCTTATTGATTTCTACTTCAAACTCACACAGGTTGACTGCTTATAGCTATATGGAGTAAAGTAATGTATACTCCTGACTCTGAATATATATATATATATATATATATATATATATATATATAACGTGATATCGTCTCTCTGTTGTGTACCGTTTGATTATCTAATCCAGTGGTAATGTAAACTCGGTCACCCAGACCAGTCTCACATTATCAGGAGTAAAATTCAATCAAAACCGCCATTTTAATATGATTTCTAATATAATCCACATATTGTTTCTCCAATAACTCTGATAGTTCAACTTCAGTCGTGAAGTATTTTGCTTCATGACAGATTGAAATCATTATAACATTCTGAGAATTTATTATATAAGAATGATTAATTATAACAAATGTAAAAATAACGTAGTTGCTTGCTAACTCAATAGATCGGATGTCAAGTACTCACTATTTGACATGAATATTTAGATGCTATCTGAATGAGGATTGAAGTAAATAGTATCTTAGGCAAGTCATTTATAGTCTACTGATGTATATAATCTAATTGTACAGTTATATTTAACTAAATTATCAGGCATCTAAATGTTTCTTTTACCCTAAGCTTCCTTTTAAAACCCTAAATTATTATTTTAAGATTTAGTGTTATTATTTGGTTGATAATTTATGATTGACAGTTACCCCTATTCGCAGCCACTATTGGCTCACTCTTGCATTGTTGTTGTTGTCTGCGCATTGGCCAGTATAGTGCCACAACACTAGGGTTCGATGTTTGATAAGTTTGTGGGTGAACACTGTCCAGGAGCGTCCGAACCTGAAGTGAAGAACTGCCTAGATTTCGAAGTCAATCTATGGTGCCAGACTGAAAAATCCAATAAGCCACACGATTTCTCACACTATAAAATCTAAAACATTATATTCAGTGTAATTATAATTATTTATTTGTTAAGGAATGTTTAACACTCCGTTTACTTGTTACTTGATAATATCTCAATAGACTATAAAACAGTATTAGATTGGCCATAAAGTTTCGATGTGGAGATTTTCACTAATATTACATACAATTATGTTAGAACTGTAACCTTTAAAACTATTTGACTGATAAACAATGGTGTATTGCAAATTAGTGTAAACAGATATTTGTACATTTGGCTTCTTACTTTATTTAAAAGCTGACCTAATTTTTTCTTACAGATCAAAATGAATCCTATTATTTGATCATTCACTCCTAATTATATTTAAAAGTAAATTATCAATTTATATGCTTGAAACTATTACAAGTTCACCTTAGTCGGTTAACGAGAGCAAAGACAATGATCCAATGAGACGATAGGCTACTCTAATCCGTCGCCCCTACTAACTGAAGAAGTCTTGATATGGAGTGGAGACGTGTATTCTACGAGCGCCCAGAAAATATAATGATCTCAAGCGCACAAATCGCGTTTATCTATACATCATAGAAACGTCCTTGAGGGAGTCACAAAAATAGCGTACTGAAATAATACATCAACCAATCACTGCCACGGATTTTCCAGGTGGGAAATGTAACCTCAGCAAATCTTAAGGTGATCATTATATCTTGTGGAATTGAAAGCGGGCTCATCTGGCTTCAAAGTCCCGCAGAACTTTACTCAATAGCGTCCCAAGTACCTTAGCATTAACATCACAAGCCATGATGCTGGATGACTTAATCTCAAATCTTACTGAGTATATCAGTCATTAAATTGCATATACACCATACTGCCGGGTGCTAACTAAGATCAAAACCCGAGTTTACGATTGCCAATCAACAGCCTTTTGTGTAAATAACATAATACAAATGAGTGAAATTTCCTTGCAGTAAGCATGTCTGCCAGAAAGATTCAATTAGACCTGTTCCGAAGGTAGAATGGATATGAAAATATAACCTGTTATGATATAATGAATTTTATCCTATATCTAACACATAAATGTTAAAATTCGGAAAGCAAATCGAATTATGTCATGTGCTACGCTTAAAAATATTTGTTACTAAAGTTGTGAATTTCTTCAAATTTTCAATTCATATGCTTCATTTAGTTATCATACGAGGACTTATATAATACTAATCAATCAATCATCAATCAATAGCAACGTAAAACTACGTACATACAGTTCATGTTACCATACCACATTAGCACAGAGATGTAATTCTCAATTCAAATCCAATAGTAGTAGAAGTAGTAAAGGTATTAGCAGTAATCGGAGAGATATCGATTAGGAGATATTATTCAAGAAGTAGAATCTAGTGAAATAAACATGAAAAGATTGAGATAAGGTGATGAGGAATAAAAAAGTTTAGGATATGAGAGAACACAAAGAATGAATTCACCTGCGCCATCGCAAACGTTTTTCAGCCA